TAAAAACATTAAAAATCTTACTGTTCAAAAACTTTTGACTGGTAGTGTACTTGCCAATTTTTGCTTTTCAGTATGTGTATGTTTTTCCATGATACAAAGTCCCCAGGGGACTGTGGTGATGCCCTTTTTTTAAGCTAGTGCATCTGAGAGGTCAATATTTCTAATTTGTACTTCTAAAAAGAAAATGTTCAACAATTAAAAATAATATTATCAGAACTAAAGCTCATGAGTTATTGTCTTTTTTTTTGGGGGGGGTAAAAATCATGGTTTGCAGTGCAGTACCACAATTGGATTTTTTTTTTTTTAAACGGGTAAAAAATTTTAAACTAAATGAACATAAACTCTACAGTACTGATACTGTAAATGAAAATACTGTAAATAAAATGCAGTAAAGACATTATTGTACTGGAGAACTTTCGTGTCATTGTCTGGGTGTCCTGTACAGAGCACATTCAGGGCTTTTCAGATATATCAAATGTTTGGAAGTTTCATCATTACCACTCGCTTTCCTTGGTCTTTAAAAGTGGCTGACATTTAATTTAGTGATCAAATTAAACGCACTGTAATTATTTAAATTTGACACATTTTTAACCTGTTTGTCATAAACATCTCAGGAAAATGTTATGGGGTTTCAAATCAAAATATGACTTTCTTTTACGAAACAGGACATTGTTTTCACACGTCCACTGTAGAGGACACCGGGACTAAAAGTATGTTTATTGTGCATTTTGGGAGACACAAAATGAATATGGAAAGAAATTATATTTCAATATTCCTATGGCAAGATTTTCATATCTAATATTTCAATTATTACACTTATTTTTTCATTACATGTTGCCCAGGGCTGTACAGTGCACTTGCTACGAAAAAACTGGTCAGTGCCATGAATAAATTTACCACTGTAGCATGCATGCATTTTGCATGTTCATAACACAGCCACTTAAAAGTGTGAAGTGATTTCATTGTGCTTGTGTGTGTGTGAGATTAATTATACTTGGTAGTTCGGGGTGTGCGATATGACGATTTTTGATCGTCTCCACGATCTGCTTTTGAAGAAATCTCGTAGTATCGTGCTACAGCGCACATTTTTTCTGAAAGTAATTTTCAGATGCAACGGGGGAAAAAACGGGATAAACACAAACATTTTAAACTTGTAAATAAAATAATCTGATATATAGCCTATGTACAGTTTAATAACATATAGCCTAGTTTGATATATGAATTGGGTGTTGTTCGTCAAAGATTGCATGCGGTCGGAGATTCCCGTGTTTACAGCTCCGTAAAATAATCTACTGGAAGCTCTGTAGTTTTGCTGTATAGGCCTATAGATACAAATATTACAATTACAAACACACAATAACATTTTAAGTTACTTCCATTTCTGAAAAAAAGAATGTAGGCCTAGTAATTGAAAACACCGTCCCTGATCTGAATGAATTTGTCGTGGTACTCCAAATAAGTAGAACCAACGTTCCACTAAAACACGTGCCACTGTTGCTGCCGTTTGATCTTTAGTTGGGATGGCTTGTGTGAACTTTGAAAATACATAGGTCAGAACTAGTACATTTTCGAGTCCATTTGATGCAGGTTCCAACAACGTGAAATCAATGGCCAGAATATCTAATGGTCTCTCTGCCATCAGATGTCCCATAAAACTACGTACTTTTGGTCGTACCACTTTAGCTAAGGTGCAGCGCTTGCATTTCTTACACCATTCCTCAATTAACTTGAACATACCAGGCCAGTAACATCGAGTTCTCACTAAACTTGCTGTCCGCTCAATTCCTTGATGGCCGTGGTCATCATGTAGACTTGTGAGGACTCTTTCCCTGAGAACAGCTGGTAACACAACCTGGCGGATTTCTCGATGTTCCTCCTGGGGACAGAATCTCCGATACAGCACTCCTTCTATCTTCACCAGCTTCCCCCACTGCCGTACCAATTCAAGCACCACTGATGACTCTGCTGCTCTCTCCTGTGTATCTGGGGGCCTTTGACGATCCCAATACACAAGGAATCCCCCAATAACGGAGTCAGCTTCTTGCAGAGCACCAAGATTTTCTCTAGGCTGTTCAGGGAGGGCAGAAATTGTTTCACTGACAACTACACGCTGACTGTCATAAGCACACTGATATAACTCCTTCGGCATTGCAGTAGTCATAGCCAATTCAGCTACAGATGCAGTGTTTTTTTCTAGAAAGAGCATCTGCGTTAACATTGGAACGTCCAGGCTTATATTTTATTTCCAGATCAAAATCTGCCAGCTGATTAGCCCAACGCTGCTCCAATGCTCCTAACTTTGCAGTTTGCAAATGGCTAAGTGGATTATTATCTGTATATACTAAGCACTTCTGACCCAACAGGTACTCTCTAAACTTTTCTGCAACAGCCCATTTCAGGGCCAAAAACTCCAGCTTCATTGAACTGTAGTTCTGCATGTTTCGTTCGGACGGTCGTAGTCCTCGACCTGCAAACGCGACTGGTCGACATTTGCCTCCATGCTCTTGGGACAAGATGGCACCCCGACCTTGGTGGCTTGCGTCAATATCCAAAATAAAGGACTTACTAAAATCGGCATAAGCAAGAACTGGAGCATTGGTCAGGGCTGTTTTAAGAGCCTGGAATGCATTTTCACACGAGTCAGTCCATTTAGCCCCCAAATTAATCTTGGGTCGTTTATTCTTTTGTCCCCTGATCATTTCTGCCACTAGCGTATTCAAGGGGCCAGCAATCTGTGAAAAATTTTTAACAAACCGCCGGTAATAACTAGCGAAACCAAGAAAGGATCGACGTTCTTGAAGATTTTGCGGCTGGTTCCACTTGGCTATGGCTGATATTTTCTCTGGATCTGTACTGACCCCTGTGGAAGAGACCACGTGCCCCAAATAATGCACCTCTGACCGAAAGAAGCAGCATTTACTAAGTTTTATCTTTAGGTTCTGTTGTTTCAGCCGATCCAGCACCAGCTCCAGTCGCTGAAGGTGTTGCTGAATGGTTGTAGAAAAGATGATCACATCATCCAAATAGAGCAGCAAAGATTGAAAACTCTGGTCCCCAAAAATTCGCTCCATTAATTTTTGAAAAGTGCTTGGGGCATTGCACAATCCAAATGGCATCCTATTGAATTCAAAGAGCCCAAATGGGGTGCAAAAAGCAGTCTTAAAACGATCTGTTTCAGCAACTGGTACCTGGTTATATCCACTCGCCAGGTCCAAGGTCGAAAACCACTTAGCTCCAGTCAAGGCGTCCAGGGATTCCTCTATCTTTGGCAAGGGATAGGCATCTTTACGAGTTCTCGCATTAAGCTGGCGGTAGTCGACACACATTCTCAAAGCGCCATCTTTCTTCTTCACCAACACAATTGGTGAGGCATATGGGCTACCGCTCTCCCTAATAACGTGACTGTCCAACAATTGTCTAATGTGTGCCTTCACATCCTCAAACTGACTGGGAGGAATTC